ATGTATATATATATAGTTTGTTTAGGGTGAGAAGAAAGAAGGTGTGAGAATTGTGACCTGCATGTTGTTGTATCTGTTGAAGGTTTTACAGCAGACTGGGCATGAGAACTGTGTGGGTCCAATGAGGATCTGCGAAGGGGTTGGGATCCAGTATTGGCCTTTGGTGAGCTTGCCAATGGTAGGGCAACCAAGTGGGATGTTGATGTTGCTGCTTCCATCCTCATCATCTTGTTCATGATTGTGGCCTTCCTCCACAGTTGCAGAAGAAATTCTGGAGATGAGATCAGCAGCTGTGGGGCTCGGGAGGCCTATGTGGAGGGCAACTGTAACTGCACCTTCGGTCTCATCTTCATCCTCATCATCTTCAAAGGTGGCTCTTTTCTTCTTTGACTCTGCTTCGGCTTCGATTTCTTGGTGGTTTTGGGGGCTTTGGTTGAGGAGGGGAAGGGCTTCTCTTAGGGGAGGGGAAAGAGGGGGAGATTGGGGGGGATTCAGGTTTGTGTTTTGGAGGAAGGTGTTGTAGTTGTGGTTGTAATTGGTGTAGTAGCTGTAGGAAGGGAGGGAAAATGAAGATGGTTGAGGGGGGAGAGGGGGAGGGAGGGGAGGATTTGATGGGGAGAAAGGATAGTAGGAGAAGTGTCTCTTGAAGAAATGGGAGTAAGGGTCTGCCATGGATGGTTGTGTGAGCTTCAAGCGATGCAGAAAACAAGGGTTCAAGACTATTATAGATTCTTCGTTTATTGTGTGTGTGTCTCAGCGAGAGAGAGAGAGAGAGAGAGAGAGAGAGAGAGAGAGAGAGAGAGAGAGAGAGAGAGAGAGAGAGAGAGAGAGAGAGAGAGAGAGAGAGAGAGAGAGAGAGAGAGAGAGAGAGAGAGAGAGAGAGGCAAAGAGTTAATGAGAAACGGGAGGGGAAAAAATGTCACAACAAGAATTATATGGGGTGGGGGGTTGGGAGAAATGAGGGGGAGAGAGAATGGCTGAGAAAGGGGAATGGGAAAGTAAAGGAGAGAAAAAAGATAAATAAGAACAAGGTTATAATTTAGTCAGTGCCTAACGGATAAAATTCCAAACAGAAATTCCTGTTAAAAAACGATTTTTTATTTTTATAAAATCAAATATTTTTTATTTTTATAAATCATATCAATTTAGTTTATTGTATGACATAAAAACCATTGATTTATGAACTTTAATTTTCTAACTTTAATAGATTCTAACTATCAAAATACTTGAAAGTAATTTACATCTACATCATGATCTCGGAGTAATTAAAAAGGAAGAATGAAAATCAAAAAGCAATTTTTAATGAAAACACTCGGCCAGCTTAGCATTAGATTAGTCAAACTTACATTTCAACTATTTTTCAAGTCAAAATTTCAAAAAATAAATGATATACATTTCGTATAATGAATGTTATAGAACTTTTGTCTTACATATCAGGGATCGAGAAAATATTGTGTGGTGACTGTGTCTGGACGACGGTCTGATTGGGCCGCTTGTGCTCTTTAGTCTGAACGCCATTAGGTGTTGGCCAAACATTATAAAATGTTATAATGAACATGAAAAATTAAATTTCATATGAGGAATATGAAAACTTAGGGCTATTTATTGCTAGCAAATATGATCTATTAACATATAATTAAGTGCTTATTGAAATATATTCAAAAATTAATCAAAATCAAACATGTATCAAATCTCAAGAAGAATATTAGGATTCAGTAAATGATGGTATTGTTGAGACATTGATCAAAATCAAACATGTATCAAATCTCAAGAAGAAAATTATATATTTATGTTTTCAAATCTGAAAATGATATAGTTCTCAGGGGATATTTATGGTCAGTCAAAATTTACAAAAGTGTGTTGTTTGGCATGAAAGTGAAGAATGAAGGTGCACTCTATGTTATATAGTGTAACTTCAAGTGCAGTTGCTTCAATCTCGTCATATTTGGTGAAACAATTATATAAGAAAGTTAAGAAAGTTAGATTTGTAGTCTTAAATCTAGCCACAAAAGCTAGAAAAGAATTAGAGATGATAAAGACAATTGATCTTATGTTGCATATATCTCAGTTCTTGATTATATCATTGCAAAATTCAGGGGTACAAAATTTCAACATCATTTGTACTTTCATTATTAATAGATCAATCTTATTATGCAATATGTGTGTTCAAATCTCTCACAAATCTTAAATTTAGGTGTCATATGTGTTTTTGGTGGTAGTGAAGTATTAGAACATTTGCACTTCTAGGAAATTAAGAATACTGAAGAAGATCCAAAAAGTATTGCCATACAATTAAGCCCAAGGTGAGATCTTAGGATGGTAAAATTTATAGAAGGTATAAACAAACAAAAAATTCAAAACAAATAGTTACGAGATGAATATATACTCGAATATATTTTTTAAGTTATTAGGATTTATAAAATTCCTTAAATCATGATTTACTAAATCTCGAATGGGATTTACATCCGAAATTCGTGGAATCCAGATTAAAGAAATTCTTGGCTTTATTTTGTCCAAACTTACCGTCTGGCAAGATTTAGGTAAAATTTATGTTAAATCATGCTCTAAAATGATTTCCAAATAGCCCCTCAGTAAATTTGTGATTAGAGAAGAGAAAGAATGGTGCAAACAAACTTTTCTTCCTCAATGGTTTTTGGTAGGAGCGAAGCAGAAGGATGGGAACGATGAGGGTTTCGGGTGGTCTATGTAAGTCGCAAACTCTTCATTGTCTTCCTAGCTAACTCTAATGGCGATTGTATCGTCAAGAAGGGTTCACGAAGGTTATGGTTTTGGGAAAAACCCGGTGGAGGAAGGAGGACGAATGCGAGGGTTTCGAGCATGTGAGAGAAGAAAGGGAGAAATAAGGATTTTCGGGGCTAGTTTTTTATTAAAGACTATTTCCGACATCTCAGCCACGGTTTAGTAGTGGTCGGTTTAAAATAACATCATAATTGATGTGGAAAGCTATTGGTTATCATCAAATGCTCACCAGTCCATGACCTAGGAAAAATGTCTTCGTTAATTTCCAACGACATTTGTCAATCGATTTTTGTTAGAGTTGAAGTGACGGTATACACCGTAGGTAACCCTAAACATACAGTCAAAAAAAAAAAAAAATCCTACGCATTAGCGACAGCCTGTGTAGTAGTTATATCACCAAAAATTAACTCCATAATCTTTCGTTGCTAAGACGTCATAAATTGACATGTACTTCAAGGATGTCATAATAACTGATCTCACTATCTGAGTGTGTGTTTCCTCAAACACAAACACAATAGTGTTCATCCCTTCATGCTAGAAACTCATGTGAAAGCTATAACCATTCACATCAAATATTTTTCATGTAGTAACACTGCCATTAGACCCCAAGCAAGATCTAATAGGCCCTGATCCGTAATTCTGCTCCTTGTTTCATGAACCTATAATAAATTCCAAAGTATAATGTATTTTACTTTGAAAGTGAAAAATATATTATGTATCGGTGAATCGAATGAATCATGTCAACATATTTATAATTTGAACTATGTCAAAAATTCTTCTTTAATCTTCATGCTTTTTAGACTCATCAACTATGTTCAAAATGTCGGTAAATTATATGCTCGTCATTGTTATTTGTATGTTGGAGTAAATTAGTATATCATTTTAAATAAGAACTTAAAAAATTACACATATCTTATGTATAACATATCTACACCCTAAACCCGAATTTGTACATACATTCCACTCAATCAATATGCATCGCATATTAACACCCAAACATCAATTTTTACATACAAACCACACAATTCTTGTGTATTATATTTCTACATCCTAAACTTCAATTTTTATATTAGAGAAAAAATCTCTTTTTAAATATTAGGAGATGCTTATAAAGCATTTTAGGTAATTTTTTTCATCGCTAATAAATTTAATGAAATAATCATAAATTTTATGATAAATCTTCTAAAAATATAATATTTATTCAAATTTTACTAAAAATTTATGTTTAAAGTTTAGGGAATATATATATATATATATATATATGATTGAGCCG